GCCCCAAGAACAAGTTGTCAACAATGTTGTTATATTAAGGCCCCGTTTACACGACACCAGACAAACGTTTGTCCGAATAGAAATTTGTACGGATACGCGTTGGGTTTACGCGAGACCGCCCCTATCTGGACAAGTTTTTGAGTACCTATCAGTGCAAATTTTTCTCCTGCTACGAAAGCGTACTAGTTTCAAACTGTGCCGGACAATTATTTGTCCCATACCCATGTCCCATACCGTGTAAATGGAAAACCAGACAAATATTTGGCAATTTGCACTGATTCGTCCCAGTTTTCTGTTTACTATATACGCTTACACGCCTCGATCACAATTACACTTGTTTAGCGTACATTGCCCAAGTTATTTTGAAGGGAAAATAAACCATGGAATAATAAAGCAATATTTACATTTATTTCGATACGTCTTTTATGTATCTCCGCTGCGGAGATGCTTAACGTAGCCCTAACGCTGTTAAAAGCCAATTTATCATCGCTTTCAGGCGCGAAACCAACGTAAACAACGACCCGAACATTCCCAAGTGATGTACAATAATTTTCGAAGTTGTACCGAACAAACAGCTAATCTAATTTACATATGCATCATGATGTGCTGATGCTTTGTCGTCAGTAAACGGGAGGCCAATGTGGACAAATATTCGTATGATTACGAATTTTTATGCGAACAAAAATTTGTCTGGTGCCGCGTAAGTGGGGCCCAAGGCCTAAAATACACGTAGGAAATATCTTAATTACCTTCATGTTTACTGTAAGATGATGATGAACCATTAACAGAACCACTATCGCAACACGCAAAACAGCGTCCAATTCAACCAGATGAAATAATACAACGGTGCTTCTGAAAAGTATTAAGTATGCTGAGTTGGCCGCTAAGTCATGCCATTGCCTATCGAAGGGAAGATGGCTATCGGAAACTCATTAGAATAACAATATAACCTGTTTCTATGTCTATAGTCATTATTCACGAATCTGGTCCTTCACCGTCACGTGTGTATTGTATTTTTGCCAAATCCACCAATAGCAATTTCCAATTTACACTATGTTGTTCGAGTCACGGATAGGTAACTTTCCTAAAACATTGCTATTGGTTAGTTGTGACCTCTGTGACGTGCGGTGAAGGACCAGATGTTGACGTCTCTACCCAGTCGGAACTAATACATACTTTGTATTTTGTTTCTTCCCAACAATTCCGCAGGAAATGAAATTTACCAGTCAGCGTCAAAATATTCTGAGGATGACTGTTCAATAAACCATAAAGGATAGTAATTGTCAGTCACGCATTGTTAGGGGGGACATTTCGAGTTCTAGATCATTGACGTCGTATTAACGATTAGACAGATTAAGATCGAGGACGTCACTGATACCGTGTCCGTCGGCACAATAAATTAGTTGTCGGCAAAATGAATTGGATCAAGCCAATAGGCAATACCTGATTGGAGAGAGATTGTAGGAAATTTGTAGAAAATGCGAGATCGAAAAGATGCCGGAATGTCGACTGAAAGCTTGGCTCTTTTCCGAACATTCAGCTAAGTTGGCCAAGAACTTATTACGCTAATACGCTATTTAATAGTATTATATTTTCTTGCAATTTTGTGAAGTATACCATAGCTAGGAAATTCGAAGCACGGCATGTGCGTGTTGACTGTTGATGCGTCTGCGCTTCATTTCATAATCTTGTAAAGCCAGTAAAAGTCTTAGAGATTACACCTAACAGTCTTTTATACAATAAGAAATACGGAGATGATTTAAAAGTATGGACAGGCAAGCAAAAACGCAAACGGAAGAGAGAGAAACTGAGGTGTTTAGTTTGCAATCGGTCGTTTGATGACGAATGGATGTGCTTTTTCGATTTTTTTTCAGAACTATTTCGTCTATTTTAAAAGTAAATTAAAATAAATTATCTTACTACAAGGCGTTAATCATTGTATATCACTTAAAAATGAATATGGTTTGCTTTGACCACGCCCTAACCGTGCGCTAGCCACGCCCTTTTGTCGGCAAAAAGTTGTCTTGCACCCCCCGAAAAGGATAGTCTTCGCTCCGCCCCTGGACGTCATGCAAAGACGATGTGAAAATGGCGTGTTGTGCCTATGTATGGATTAACCTCCTCCCCAGGCAAAAATATAAATATTAAAAAAATTTTAAAAATTGGCAAAAATGTGAATATTATAGGGTTACAGTGATCCCTAACTTTAAATTCACTGTTATTCATGATACTTTTGCCAATTTTTGCCAAAGAATTGCCTGCGGAGGAGGCTATGTATGGATATGCCACGCCATTTCCGATTTTCACGTCGTCTTTGACGTTCGCATCCTCGATCTAAATCTGTCTTGACGTTGTATTGACGTCGTACTGACGTCATATTGACGTCGTATGAAAGGTCCATACAGACAGGATGCGATTTTGGCAACGCGACGCGAATTTTCAGTTTTCAGTGACATTTAACTTCAATATTTTTTTATTTTAATTTTCAAATATTCGGAACCACTTAAAGGGGAATGGCAATAAAAATTAACATTGTCTTATTTGAAAGAACGTTTAAAGTTATACATGAAGACCCTGTGCAACTTTTTCGTATCTTGCTTGGTTTTCGAAATATTTTGACCAAACTTGGTATTATAATTGACCTAATAATTAAGCATGCGAAAGGCTGATATTTTAGAAAAAAATGAATAGTTAACTAAAGCAAATTGTCTGAAATTTTGTACAGTAATTAAAAACCCAACAAATTTTAAATTTCGTTCGCAAGCCATGTTTAGTTTGTTGGAAGAGACACAACCCCCTGCCCCTGGTTCCCAAAATTTGAGTTCGAGAAATGTTTTCCATTATTCTACATTATAAGTACCCAAAGAAACTATACAGCTATTTCAATTAAGGTTGTCCCCCGAGCAAAGCGGAAAAGTCGAATACGAGCGCGAAAGGCTGCTAGGAATCGCTAATAAATTCATTCATTTATTAGCGATTCCCAGCAGCATTTCGCGCTCGTACTCGACTTTTCCGCTTTGCTCGGGGGACAACCTTAATTAAATGAAATAGCTGTATATATAAAAAACTGGATACTAATAGCTCTTTTGCAAAATTGAGAGCAATTTCAAATCTGTTCAGTTTTTTTTATATACACCCTGTATAACGCGTGCTCTGATTGGTCAAAACCCGTGTTTGGATCAGCCCATCCAGCTCGGTGACGTCACGCAAATCAAAGGCGTGCACAGAAGACTAGGGACTAGTCTGGTTGCGGTTGGTTTGGTTTATTTGTTTTTGACTTTTTTGTGATATGTATTGTGCCTAATTCAGACTAAAAAACTATTGTGCAAGGGTTGTGAATTTGTATGTTTTGCGTGCGAAGGACGAAGAACCATTGTTCTTCTGTTCAGACTGTGGTTCTCCGAGGGACAACTCGCGATCTAGAGGCCTTTCCGTCACTCAAACTTCTAAGTTATGATGTAGTTTTTAACTGACAGGTTGTACCATGCATTAAACATACTCTTAATAAACCTATTATTATTTTATTATATTCTAGTTTTCCTTTTTAAGACACGTGAATGGTGAAACAGCTTTTTTTCGTTGTGAAACGTGATCCATTATTTAACATTTCGTTGTTAAAACAGTAGTTGTAGTTATAGCGAACTACATTTTACCTAAAAGTAGCCAAGTAGTTGACTACTTTTCAAACCGAGCGAATCGCTATTCGCTACTTTTTAAAATTGTTAGCAACTTGATAGCATGATATTGAGACACTGTTTGCTTAAAATCAATACTCAATGACAATATAGTCAATTTGCACTCCTGAACACTGCAGTGCTTACAAAAATGTTGCTTTGTGTTTACTGTTGCGATTCGTAAGTCGATTTGTTCTAGGTTACATTACAGCCTGAGTTAGTAGATGCTCCAAATACAGTAAAACTAAAAAATATAGCGTAGCGAAATAGCAAAAATGAAATAGCGAAATAGTTCGCTACATTTTTTAAGTGGTATAGCTGTAGTCAGTAGCGAACTACCTTCAAATGTTCAAAAGTAGCAGTGGTTGCAGCTGACTATATATTTATGAAGTAGCTGTAGTTATAGCGAACTACACTGAATTTTGTAGTCAACCCACCCTTGCAAAAATTATAAAAATTTAATATGGTAATAACCTCTGGGTAATAACCAAGTTGGAAAGTACATTCGTTAATTTTGAGCGCGTGTTACGTCACGTACAAAAGACTCTTCTCTTAATTAATTTGCAAGTTACCAAAGCTGCATTAATTAGGTCGAAAATAAACGCAAGATGGCGGAATACTGTTTCTGGTCAAAATATCTCTAAAACTAAACAAGATAGAAAAGAAATGTAACGGGTTTTCATAATTATATCGTTTTAAAAGTTCGTTAAAATGAGACAAACTTAATTCTTATTGCCGTTTCCCTTTAAGGGACGGACCATTAGAAAAGTGATGGGGGAGGGGGGACTTTTTCAACTTGTACGAATATTGTGTCGATAATTTTTTTAAATATAATCCCTGGCTCGAATTTTTTTTATTTCAACTTATAATATTCCCTATTGAAAAGTCTCTGCACGAATTTTATTTTCAAACTTTTTTGGTGCACGAATTTTTTTTCTTTCTGTTTCCCCTGCTCGATTTTTATTTTTGCTCCCCCC